ATGTAGACCAACGGACGTCAAATGTCAGATAGGAATGGACTTCATATGTGAAATATCAGTACAGGTGTTAATTCACATGTTTCGGGTGCTAGCGAATTTCGGCTTATTCACTGTGTCAGTTTTGTGACATGGCAGGCGAGATGATCGATTCTGCCGCGTTGTATTATACGTTCTGTCGGTGTGTAAAGTTTTGGTTTTCGTTTGAGGCGGACTTCGCTTCACATGCTTCAGTTCAATTCGGGTGATGAATGCCGTTTCAGCTTTTTGAGTCTGGGGATTCAAATGGTAGCGGACTTCAGATACTTAAGTTTTTGTTAGATGCCAACCGACTCCAGATATCAGCGGGTTTCATGTTTGAGATGCCGATGGGCTTCATTTTGAATTTTAATTCCATGTGCGAACTCGCAGGTATCAGAAGTAACCTACGACCGGATGTTTATGGTTTCCTGTTTCAGTTCAGCTGAGTTTTGCCATATCTATTTAATTGAAGGTGGGATTGTAAGTTCTGCTTCCGTATAGCAAAGTCTGTATGTACATTTATCCGACATGAAAGTTGAAATTTCTTGAGACGGACTTCGCTTCAAATGTACAATCTCGTTCAGACTGGTAATTTCCGCTTCGGGGAATAAGTGTAAGGTTTCAGGTGCTAGCGGGTTTCAAATGTTCAAATGTGACTTTCCCATGCCAACAGATGGCAGATATCGACGGATTCCAGATTTCAGATGCTAATGGATTTCAGATTTTGCATGTCGTTTCAGGTCTTAATCCGCAGATTTCAGATGCTAGAGCATTTGCTTCATGTTTTCAAATTTCAGTTACGTAGTTTGTCAGCAACTATACAAGACAAGGCAACAGTGTAATTCCCGCTCTATTGCGTTGAAAGTGTTTTCATCTGTTAGACTTCAGATTTCAGTTGAGACGGACTCGATTTCAAATATTAGATGCCGTGTCCGATGACAAAGTTCATTTCTGATGCTGAAATTTCAGGTGTGGGTTTTCTCACAGTTCTGTTATGTGTGGCTTTTATGTTTCAAGTGTCCTGTGTTTCCCAGTGTTAACCGACTTCAAATGCTAATTCAGTTAAGGTATTAAATTTCGTTTCAGATGTGAAGTCGCAGATTTTTCTCCAAGTAGGCTTGCCCTATAGGATCCTGTAGGAGTCCTAGCTCATCATGAGTCATTGGCCCCCCTTTTTCCAGCGGCGCCCCCCCTTATTTCCAATGGCCTCCCCTTCCCCCCCCTTTTCCAATGGCCCCCCCCCCCTTGTTCCCAACGGCCCCCCCCCCCAGCTATTTCCAATGGCGAGTCCTATGCTTGTTCTTGCTTGCTTGCACTTGATCGCTGGCTCTAGCTTGCTTGCTCTTGCTTGCTTGCTTGCTTGCTTGCTTGCTTGCTTGCTTGCTTGCTTGCTCTTGCTTGCTTGGTATTGCTTGCTTGCGCTTGCTTGATTCCGCTTGCTTGCTTCCGCTTGCTTGCGTTTGCTTGATTTTGCTCCTCCCGTCCTCCTCTCGTCCTCCTCCCATCCTCCTCTCGTCCTCCTCCTGTCTGTCCTCCATCTATTTGGAGTCAACGCTGGTTGCTATTGATGTCCATACATTTCAGATGCTCTAGTTGTTACTTACAGAAGCAATACCACGAATGTGTTTCCCTTCTCTGTTTTCGGATTTGTTTATATTGTTTCTGTGCGCATTCAGGTACGGCAAAGCTGTATTGCGGGTGTGCCGTTTTGGCCAGACGAGAGATGTCTGAGCATTAGCCCTTGCTGGTCGCGAGCGCTCCGCCTGGGCCGTCCTGCACATCCGAGTCGTGGACACGCTCTCGCTCCGCGGGGACACCGCGAGCACCCCACGTGGCTTGGCAGCACGCCGCGCTCGACCACCCAGGGTCTGCAGAGACCAGGCCGCCGCTGCCCTCCCACCCCCGCGCCCCTGGCCCCGAGGCCGCCGCTTGGACAAGGAGGCGTTCGAGGCCGCCATGGAGCACCTGCAGGCCGCCGCTGCGGGGGGAAGGAGGCAGCCTGGAAGCGCAGGGGAGCAAACACACAATGACGTGAGCTTGTGAAGCTCATGCGATTGTCTCCGAACAGGGCGCGGACCTCCGAGTCTTCAGGAAAGACAGAGGTCCGCGCGCACTCTTCCGATCGGCGCTGGGGCCCCCTGGCAGCGCCTCCGGCGCCGCCCCCGGCGCGCTCCGCGCGCCAGGGATATGGGTGGCCCAGCGCCGGTCCGAGAAAGCCGCGCGGACCTCCGAGTTCTGTGTTTATGTCGTTGTCTGTCCCCCCGGAGGGGGGGGGGGGGGGAAGCCATGGCAAACAAGGAGACGGGGGGGCCCTGTCGAAGAGGTTGGCGTCCTCTTCCTCGGCGGAAGGCCAGCGGGAAGCACGTAGTGAGGCCGCCTCCGCTGGCAGAAGAGCCGGCGAAGGGCTGGCGGAAGTTGGCGGGCGTCAGACATGCGGCCCTAAGAGATGCCATCATTTTTTGATACAGGCTTCCCGGGACGGCCCACAGGGCATGGTAGGGCAGGGTAGTGTGGGGCACGGCAGGGCGGAATGATGCTGGGCTAGGCGGGGTTGGGTGGGACCAGGGGCATTCTGGTGGGAGGGGGGAGCGGGGAGGAGGAAACAAGTCTTGGGAAGGTTGGGAGTGATGAAGAGCCCCTCCTCCTCCTCCTCCTCCTCCTCCTCCTCCTCCTCTCCATCCTGCTTCTATCTCCCGTCCTTCCTTATCGATCCTCCATTCTCGATCTTGCAGTTTTTCCTCTTCCATCCTTTCTCCATCCTTCCTCCTTCTCTCCTCCTTCATCCTTCTTCATATATCCTCCTTCTTCCCTCATTGTTTATTTTTTTTTGCCCTCATATTTTTTCCGCCTTCTCCCCCCATGGGGCGGGCTTGGCGTTTCGCCTGTGACTTCCTACTGTTCATGCGCCTGCAGCTGAGACCCCAAGCAGCTACACGGATGGAGGGCGAGTGGAGTGCTTTCAAAATGTGATTGTCGCTTCAGCGCCGCGTGCATTCGCCAAACGAATTTCCTTCAGCTCGGGTGGAGGGCGAGCAGTTTTCAGAATGTGATTCCCGCTGAGGCGCCGCATACACTCGTCTAAGGCATCAGCTGCACGCATGGGCGGCAAGTGGTTTTCAAGATTCGGCTCGTGCCCGATCGACGCGCAGATTCGTCCCAAGCGTTTCCGGCAGGTTCAGGTCCCAATTGCGAATTCGATCGGGGTTTAGCCGTGTCAGGTCAGATCTCAGTTGCGATTGGGACTCGGCTGGTGTTCAGCCAGGTCGGTTCAAATGCCAGCTGTGACTGGGATTCGGTTGGTGCCTGGCCAGGTGCTTCACATCGAAGAGATTGGGATTCGGTTGGGGCCTGACCGGGTCAGCTCAACTCCAAGTTGCGATTTGGAGTCGGTCGGGGCTTGGCCAGGTCACTTCAGATCGAAGGTGCGATTCGGTGTTGGCCTGGAGAGGTCGGTTCACGTCCCAGTGTTTACTGGCATTCGGTTGCGGCCTGGCCAGGTCGGTTCAATCGCAGTTGCGGCTGGATTCGGTTGGGGCCTGGCCAGGTTGGTTTGAATCCCAGTTGTGTGTGCGACAGGGGTTCGGTTGAGACCTGACCAGGTCTGTGCTAACCCCAGTTGCGACTGGGATTCGGTGGGTGCCTGGCCAGTTCGGTTCAAATCTTAGTGGCTGGGGCTTGGTTGGGGCCCAGACAGGTCGGGTCAAATTAGAATTGTGGTTGGGATTCGCGTGGTGCTTGGCCAGGTCGGTTCAAATGCTTCGACTGTGGCCTTGCCAGGTCGCTTGGGATCCCAGTTGCGGTTTAGATCCGGTTCAAATCTAAGTTGGAATTGGGATTCTGTTGAGGCCTGGCCAGGTTGCAAAAAAATCCCAGATGCGTCTGCGATTTGAGCTCGGTTGTGGCCAGGCCAGGCCGGTTCAAATCCCAGTTGCGAGTGGGATTCGGTTGGGGCTTGCCCAGATTGGTTCAGTTCTCAGTTGAGACTGCGACTGGGATTCGATTTCCAATTTGGGTTTCTGCTGGGATTCGGTTCAGTCTTGGCCCTGCCACTGGGGTTCGGTTGGGGCCTGGCCAGGGCGGTTCAAATCCCAGCTGCGACTGCGATTCGGTTGGGGTTTGGCCAGGTCGGTTCAGATCACATTTGCGGCTGGGATTCGACTGAGGCTTGGCCATTGAGGTTCAGATCCAAGTTGCGACGTGGCTTCGGCTGCGGCTCGGCCAGATCGGTACTAAGCCCAGTCGCGGCTGGGATTCGGTGGGGATTTGGCGAGGCAAGTTCAAATCGCAGTTCCCGCTTGGATCTGGGTGAAGCCTGGCCAAGCCGATTCAGATCCGATTTGTGCTGGGATTGGGTTCTGCCTTGCCCCGCCAGTTCAAACCCATGCAGTTGCGACTAGGTTCGGTCTTGGCAAGGCCCATTCAAATCGCAATTTCGTTCGGAATCTGGTTGAGGCATGGCCAGGTCAGTTTGACTCCCCTGTGCCATCGGAATTACATTGGGGCCTGGCCAGCTTGTATCAAAAACCGAGTGCGATTGGGGTTCGGTTCGTGACTGGCCAGGTCACTCGCCCGACACTGTTTCGACACTGTCTCGGCACTCTTTTGACACCTTTCCGGGTGCTCGAACTTCTCTCTGGGATGCGGTCCTTACGTAGGATGGGAACAACATCACTCAAGGCCATCGGACAGACGAGGAGCAGCTTCCGGTGCCCACGCGGTGCGCGCGCCCCGGCCGGCCTGGACAGGATGGGCGCCGACGGCTCGCGGCGGGGGACACCCGGGCCGCCGAGGCCCTGCTCGACTCGGTCTCGCAGCAGGACCCGAAGTCAGGGGGCCACGCGCGAACCCTGCCCCTGCCCCCCACGATTTCGGAGGGGGAGGGTGGGGTTCGCTTCGTTCGGGAGCTCCCGAGCAGAGTGAACCCCCCCCTCCCCCTCCGAAATCGTGAGGGGTGGGGGCAGGGTTCGCGCGTGGCCCCGCAGAAGTGCCCGCGCGGCAGGGCGCTCTGCCGCTCCCCCGTCCGCGAGCGTGCCCTATGCGGGCAGCCCCGCACGGCGCGTGCGGGGCGCTCGAGCGCAGACGCCGCCGGCGGGCCTGCCGCCCAAGAGGCCGTCGCCTTCAGAGCTCCGTCCTCGGCGCCTCTGCCGAGGCGGCGGACCCCCGGCGAGCCGCAGCCGGCGCGTCAGCCATGCTGGGGAGTTGCACGAGGTCCAGGGCAGCTTCCAATACATAGAATTCTTCACGCTTCGCGTATCCCCACCAGCCCATCTCAAAACAGCAACTCTTGCGAAGCATGCCGACGGTCGTGTTTTTCAGGCGTGTGTCCGCTTGCCCCCGCATATCTCCCCTGTTCCTCCTTCCTCCCGCCTCCTTGTACATCCTCCTTGTGGTGGGAGCGGGAGAAGGACGAGGCGGAGGAGGAGGGAGAGAAAGCGGTGGGAGGCAAGAGGGATTTAGCGGAGACGACGACCACAGCGATGATCCTAACAACGACGACGCACCCGACGACGACGACGATATCGACCGCAACGACGACGACGACCACAACCGCGACGACGACGACGACGACGACGACGACGACGTCGACGACGACGACGACGAAGGCGGCGGCGACGACGACGACGACGACGACGACGACGACGACGACGACGACGACTGGTGGGAGTCGTTTGGGGGCCCTCGTGGTGTGAGTCGTTCGGCCCCATCGTCCTTGTGTGAGTCCTTCGGGCCCCTCTTCCTGGTGTGAGTCGTTCGGGCTCCTCGTGGTGTGAGTCGTTCGGGCCCCTCGTCCTGGTGTGAGCCGTTCGGGCTTCTCGTGGTTCGAGTCGTTCGGGCCTCTCGTCCTGGTGTGAGTCGTTCGGGCCCTTCTTCCTGGTGTGAGTCGTTCGGGCTCTTCGTGGTGTGAGTCGTTCGGGCTCTTCGTCCTGGTGTGAGTCGTTCGGGCTTCTCGTGGTGTGAGTTGTTCGGGCCCCTCGTCCTGGTGTGAGTCGTTCGGGCCCCTCCTCCTGGTGTGAGTCGTTCGGGCTCCTCGTGGTGTGAGTCGTTCGGGGCCCTCGTCCTGGTGTGAGTCGTTCGGGCTCCTCGTCTGGTGTGAGTCGTTCGGGCCCCTCCTCTTGGTGTGAGTCGTTCGGGCTCTTCGTGGTGTGAGTCGTTCGGGCCCCTCGTCCTGGTGTGAGTCGTTCGGGCTCCTCGTGGTGTGAGGCGTTCGGGCACCTCGTCCTGGTGCGAGTCGTTCGGGCCCCTCGTAGTAGTAGTAGTAGTAGTAGTAGTAGTAGTAGTAGTAGTAGTAGTAGTAGTAGTAGTAGTAGTAGTAGTAGTAGTAGTAGTAGTAGTAGTAGTAGTAGTAGTAGTAGTAGTAGTAGTAGTAGTAGTAGTAGTAGTAGTAGTAGTAGTAGTAGTAGTAGTAGTAGTAGTAGTAGTAGTAGTAGTAGTAGTAGTAGTAGTAGTAGTAGTAGTAGTAGTAGTAGTAGTAGTAGTAGTAGTAGTAGTAGTAGTAGTAGTAGTAGTAGTAGTAGTAGTAGTAGTAGTAGTAGTAGTAGTAGTAGTAGTAGTAGTAGTAGTAGTAGTAGTAGTAGTAGTAGTAGTAGTAGTAGCGTAGTAGTAGTAGTAGTAGTAGTAGTAGTAGTAGTAGTAGTAGTAGTAGTAGTAGTAGTAGTAGTAGTAGTTGTAGTAGTAGTAGTAGTAGTAGTAGTAGTAGTAGTAGTAGTAGTAGTAGTAGTAGTAGTAGCAGTAGTAGTAGATGTCTATTGGGAGCCTCTTGGAGGCCTTTTGGGGCGTCTTGGGGGCCTCTTGGCGGCCCCAGGGGCTTCTAGGAGCGTCTTGGGTGCCTTGGGGGAGCCTCTTCGGGCCTCTTGGGAGCCTCTTGGAGGCCGTGTGGGGCGTCTTGGGGGCCTCTTGGCCGCTCCAGGGGCTTCCAGGAGCGTCTTGGGTGCCTCGGGGGAGCCTCTTGGGGCCTCTTGGGGGCCTCTTGGGGGCATCTTGGGGGCCTCTTGGAGGCCTCTTGGGGCCTCTTGGGGCTCTTTGGGAGGGGTCTGGGAGGTATCTTGGGGCCATCTTTGGGGCGATCGATCACAGATGGGGCGAGCATTTCCGTCAGTCCCCCCGTCGGGGCCACGATCCTCGTGAGGGGTGTCGAATTTTAGCCCTCCCAGGGGTCGGAAAAGGACCCTCGAACCACCCGCGAAAGGCCCCCTCCAGGTCCAGGGGGAGGGGGTAGGGGGAGGGGTAAACCCCTCCCCGAAGGGGAAGAAGGGGGTTGAGAACAGAGAGAGCTCGCTAAACCACTCACGCCCAGAGGGCTGGTGGGATTTGTTTCTACACATATGAAAAATGCATGGTCAATGTAGGAATGAGTGTTTGCATGAACGCATCGTTGTTTCTAAGAGTGTTTGACGACGCGATGCCGTCTGGGCTTGGTTCCCCCTGCGCCGCGCCCGGCAGGGCTGGAGCCAGGACGGGCGCCCACGCCCCACCCCCCCTCCTCCCTGGGCTCTGGGCGCGGAGGGCACACGGCCAAGATGCCGAGGGGAGGGCCGCCGTGGGCTCGGAGGTGGCCCGCTGTTCCTGCGGTCGTGCCGCCTTTGCATCGCTCGGACGTGTGCCTTTTTCCTGCGGCGAGGACCATCGAGGAGCATCCCTGACCATTTGGCGAAAAAGCCACGCACGAAACCAAAAAAAGCACAGGAAATGGACGTCCAAGCGATGGCCAGAGTCTGGTTCGACCAGAGGCTGCAGGCCGGCGTGCAGCCGAACGCTATCGCGTACACATAGCACCATCACCAGTGCGGCCGCGCGCGGCCGCGACATCTCAGGAGGGGAAAAAACACACACCGACACAATTCTTCGTCGATTCCCAGAAGATGTGCGAAAATATGGGAAGTGGGGGGGAAGACAGAAACCCAGAAAGTATATGAAAACATGGGGGATATGTTTATTTGTGTGTATTTATTTGTGTGTCCCAGGGCCCCTTCAACATTACCGGCGCGGAGGCGTGGCTCAAGGGGATGACCGACGATGGCGTGGATCCCGGAATCGTGTCCTGCAGCATCGTCATCGACGCGTGTGCGAAGGCAGGCGAGATGTGCAGGGCGAAGGCGTGATCCGAGGAGATGCTGAAGTTCGGCTTGCGCCCAGACGCGTTGACTTTCCACGCTCTCATCCACGCTTGCGCGAAAGTGCCAGATTCAAACAGCGCAGAGTACTGGCTCATGCAGATGCGGGAGGCGCACTTGAGTCCCGACGAGAGGACCTATACAACAGCATCATGAGTGCGTGTGCCAGGCAAGGCCTCGTGGAGCGGGCCGAGCACTGGTTTGGCCAGATGCAGAGGGCTGGCTGCAAAGTCAACACTTTCGGATACGCAGCTGTTCGGTGACTTGGCCAGGGCTCAGCAGCTGTTCGATGACATGGACAGCCACCTCCTGGTTCCAAACCTCGTGTGCTTCAACACGATGCTGAACGCGTGCGTGCACAAGGGCGACTCAGAGGCGGCCGAGGCGTGGTTCCACAAGCTGGAGCCCCGTGGAATCCAGCCGAACAGCATCACGCTCAACCGCATGATCAGCGTCTCCGCGAAGAGTGGGGACGTGCCGCGAGCGAGGCACTGGCCGCCGAGGAGGATGCTCCTGCGCCGGGAGCCACCCAGACAGCCAGACAGTCTGCACTCCCGCCCGCGCGCGCTCTCGATGCGCCCGGCCGGGCCACCGCCGACACCCGGGCCCTGGCCCGCGACGCCATCGTCGACGCGTGCGGCCAGGCGTGCGGCCAGGCCGCGGCCTCCGCCCGGGCCGGGAGCTGGCGCGCCAAGGGCGCGCCAGGGCGCGCCCGAGCCGCCCGGCCTGCCTCGCGAGAGGCCCGCGCGGGCGGGCCTCGCGCCGCCGCCGCGCCGCAGCACGGGGCCGCGCCGGGGCCCTGCCGCAGCACGGGGCCCGCGAGCTCGCGGGAGGAGCTGCTCGCCCGCGCGGAGGCGACCCCGCCGCCCGGCCTCGCGCCCCCGCCGGGCCGCTCGGCGCAGCGCCTGCTCGCACGCCAGCTCGGCGGCGCGGTCGGGCCAGGCGCCCGCCGCCGAGCAGTGGGAGGACGTCCTCTCGAGGGCCCAGCAGCGCTCCGAGGGCGACGCCGTCCACGGGCTGCCGACGCTCTTCCGCTTCAGCCTCTGAGGCGCGCGCTTCCGCGCCGGAGGCACCGCCTGTCCGCTCCGCAGCCAGACTGCCGTGTGTTCGGAACTTGGGGGGGGTCCTCTCTAGGCCTCCTAGATGAGGTCCGGGTAGATGGGGTCGGAGGATCGCGCCGCATCGCCGATGCGTCGGCGATGCATCGCCGATGCGGCTCGATGTGCAGCCCGAGTTGCTTCCCGTCATCGTCGCCGATGCATCGCCGACGTCAACGATGCATCGCCAGTGCATCGCAGATGCATCGCCAATGCTGCATCGCCGATATATCGGCGATACGGCGCGATCCTCCGACTACTCGGACCCCATCTAGGAGGCCTCTATCCTCAGACAGTCCCAGGGCGCTTCACACGACTTGCTGCCTGCGCATACTCAGGCGATCGCAAACATGGATCAAGGGGGCGTGGATTAACGACGGGCCCCGTTTCCATGGGAAATCGCGGATTTTCGCCGTCGAGCGAGGCGGCACGGGCCGCACTTTGGGGAGGGCACTTCCTCCGGTCCATGGAGTTGGCGACCGCGCGCCAAATCCATGGATCGCTAATCCGTGTTTGCGCGCCCCCGACATACGTCACGTGTCGAAGACGCCGACGGCGAGTCACCGTCGCCCCTTGCCTACTGGAAACGCCCGTGCGGTTAAACGTCAGGCCGAAGTCTGGTCAAGTTGCCTGCGTGTTCCCCCAGCCGCCGTGGAAGCATGCGGTGGAACCGCTGTGAGAAGTTAAGAGAAAGGAGGAGAAGGAGAGGCAGGAGAAGAAGGAGGAGGAGGTGGAGGAGGAGGAGAAGAGGGAGGAGAAGAGGGAGGAGGTGGAGGTGGACGTGGAGGCGGAGGAGGCCGAGGAGAAGAGGGAGGAGGAGGAGGAGGAGGAGGAGGAGGAGGAGGAGGAGGAGGAGGAGGCAGGAGAAGGGGGAGGAGGAGCAGGCAGGAGAAGGAGGAGGGAACGGAGACTTCTTAGGGGACCCCCTGGGGGCTGCTGGGGCCTCTTGGGGACCTTCAGAGGCGCTCTCGGCGGCCCCCCTGGGCCGTCGCGTGGCCCTCGCTGGGCGCTTCGGGGCCGTCGGGGAGGCCCGCTGGCCCGCCTTCGGGCCGTCTCGGGCCTTCCTGGGGCAGCACCGGGGGTCTCCTGGGTCGCCCGGTGGCCCTCCTGGGCAGTTCTGGGTGCCCTCTGCGGGGCCTCTTGCGCCGCCCTGGTGCTGCCTTAGGAGCCGCTGAGGCTGTCTTCGGATGTCAGGAGCCCGAAATAACGAGATTGCAAACATCACATCAAAACGACGGCAACATGGACATGTGTTGCCTCCTAGAGGTCCTCTTGGAGCCCTCTTGGGGCGTCGTGGAGGTTCTTGCGCCGTCTGGAGGGCATCTTGGGCCAGCGTGGAGTCATCTTGGGTCGACTTGAATTGCATCTTGCCTCTCTCGGGGCCGTCTTGGGGCCATCATATCTGTCTTGGAGGCATCCTGGAGGCCATGTTGCCCGTCTTGGAGACGATTTGGGCAGTATGAGACTTATTTTCCGGGTCTCTCCAGGAGGCCGGCGGGGTCGGTCGAGACCCCATGGGGAGTTTCTTAAAAGACAAACCTTCAAAGTCTAGCACGCCAGGCACCCCTTTTGATGAATGAAAAGGGGGCGGCGGATCGAAGATGCCTACGGCGAATCACCGCCGCCCTCTGCCTTTTGGAACCGCCCATGCGACCAAATGTTAAGCCAAAATCTGGCCAAGCTGATGGACGTTCTGGACGCCCTTAGGGGAACACTTGGGAGAGGAAGAGAAGGGAGGAGGAGAGGGAGAAGAAGAGGGACGAGGATGAGGATGTGGATGAGGATGAGCATGAAGATGATGATGGTGATGACGATGATGATGATGATGATGATGATGATGATGATGATGATGATGCTGATGCTGATGCTGATGCTGATGCTGGTGCTGGTGCTGGTGCTGATGCTGGTGATGGTTATGATGATGAGAATGCTGATGCTGATGGTGGTGGTGAGTATGGTGAAGATGATGATGATGCTGATGATGATGATGACGATGATGATGATGATGATGATGATGATGATGATGATGGTGGTGGTAATGATGATGACGATGATGACGACGATGAGGATGATGCTGGTAATCATGATTACGACATTGATGATCAGAGTGATGATGATGATGCTGATGACGATGACGACTATGATGACGATGATGGTGGTGGTGGTGGTGGTAGTTCTGATGATGCTGCTGCTGATGATGACGGTGATGATGACGGTGATGATGGTGTTGATGGTAATGATGGTGATGATGATGTGGTTGATGATGATGATGATGATGATGATGATGCTGATGCTGATGCTGATGATGATGATGATGATGGTGATGATGTTCATGATGATGATGCTGCTGCTGATGATGATGATGCTGATGATGCTGATGATGCTGAGGAGGAGGAGGAGGAGGAGGAGGAGGAGGAGGAGGAGGAGGAGGAGGAGGAGGAGCGGGAGGAAGAAGCGGAGGCCTCTTGAGGACCTCGGGGGGATTCCTGGAACCCTTTTGGAGGCTGTTGGAGGCCCCTGAGGGCCCTAGGGGCCTCCTGGGGGCTTCCTGGGGCCTCTCAGAGGCCTTCTGGATACTGGAGCCTTCTGGGGGCCTCTTGGGGGGCTCTGTGGGCTTGGCCTTGGGAGACCGTCTTGTGGCCCTCTGGGCAGTCGTGGGTCCCTCCCTGGGTGGTTTAGGTTCGTTTGGGAGGTCTGGGGCCGTCTTGGGGACCTCTTGGGCCTCTTGGGAGCCTCTAGGGCCGTCTTGGGGCGATCCTGAAAGCTTACATATGGGGCCGTCTTGGAGCGTCGAAAGCCCGAAGAGGGGAGAACGCTAAATTCATTCAACAACCAACGGACATCTATGGTTATGGCCTCCTGGAGGTCGTTTTGGACCCGTCTTGGGGCGTCTTTGGGAGCCTCTTGGGCCGGTAGGGCCGTCTGGCAACGATTCGACCAGTCAGACTCAGAAAGCAAAATGTTGTGGTGAGTTTTAGCATATGGCGCATGTTTTGAGAGCAGCTCAGGTCTCTTGTTTTAGTCCTGGTCCACTTCCGGGAGCTGACTTCATGTTTGCGTCGTTCGCGCCTTACGTCGGAGGTGTTCTGGTAGTAACTGATGCTGAGAGCCAGCTGATGACCTCAGATGCTCTCATATGCAAGCGGCGGCTTCCGTTACATCTCACAGACGACGCGATCAGGCTTCAACCAGGATAGAAACGAGAAGCATACGAAACAGATTGCCTTGCGTCGGTGGTGTTTTGGCCTTCTGCATTTCTAGGCGTGCAGGGGGCTCTATGAGTATGAGGTCTCCCGCGGTAGCCTGGTTAACGGCTTACGGCGGGCACCCGGTTGGAAGTTTTTGGGCAGTGTGGGGGACATTTGGGGCCGTCGAGCGGCAATCTTGGTCGTCTTGGAGCCATGCAGAGACCATCTTGGAGGCCATTTTGGGCCATCTTGGCTGTCGGAGGCCATCTTGGGACGATTTGCGGTGCACGTTGAGGTCTTTGCGCGGCTTTCTGGGGGGTCGGCGGGCTGGGCCGAGGCCCCTGTGATTTTGTTTGGAATCCGAATTTTATCCAACATCTAGCACGCCGTGCACCCCTGTGGCAAGCCACGCGTGCGGCGAATCACCACCACCCCCTGCCTTTTTGGAAGCACCCATGTGGCCGAACGTTGTGGCCATGGTTCGGCCAAACCATCGAGCTCTTTGTTCCCCCAGCCGTTGCGGAAACCCTTCGAGGAACATGCGGGGGAGACATAGTGCGATTACTGTTATTATGTATAGTAGTAGTCATAATATTAATACGACTGGTTATAATAAGCATACTAATAGTCATAGTACGAATGATACGTGTAGTACTAATAGTGAATCTATAAACATAAAGATTGATAATACTACTATTATTAATAATAGTATTAATAATAACAATCTGAATCACATTAATAACGGTACCAATAACACTAACAATAATAATGGTGATGATGGTGATGATGCTGATGATGCGGATGATTAAGATGATAAGTGTGCTGTTCGCAATCTCAATTCGCAGAATAAGAGGAGGGTACTATGAAGGATAATCATGTTAAGAAGAAGAGTAGGTGGTGAGGGAGGAAGAGGAGGAGGAGGAGGAGGAGGAGGAGGAGGAGGAGGAGGAGGAGGAGAAGAGGATGAGGAGGAGGAGGAGGAGGAGGAGGAGGAGGCTTCTTCGGAGCCTATTGGGGCACTCTTGGGGTCTCCCGGGATCTTCCTGGGGGCCTCTTAGAGGCATCTTGGGGGCCTCCTCAGGCTTTTTGGTGGCATTCGGGAACTTCTTGGAGGCCTCATTGGCCGTCGTAGGGCGTTCCTGGCACGTCTGACGCAGTCGGAAGTGCATCTCTGGGCCGTCTTTGGGCCTTTTCAAGGTGCTGGAGGCCTTCTGGGAGGCCATCTTGGCCGTCTTTGAGACCTCTTGGGTCGTCTGGGGGCTTTTTGGGGGCCGTCTGGGGAGCTTCTTGGGCCAGCAAGGGGCCACCTTGGAGGCCTCTTAGGCGATCGTGGGGCAATGTTTGGGGGCTCTTGGGCCGTCTTGGCCTGTCAGAAAACCATGTTGAAGCAAATGCCAGAATCTTCAAAAATGGATGGGACATCAATACTTTCGGCCTCGTGGAGCCTTCCTGAAGGACTTCTTGGAGGCCTCTTGAGCCGTCGTCGGGGCCTTGTCTGCGCTTCTGGCGCCGTCGTGGGCTCTCTTGGACCATCTTGGCGATCGTGGAAGCATCTTGGGACCGTCTTGGAAGCAAGCTTGAGGTTGTCTTGAGCTCTCTTGGGGCCGTCCTGGCCGTCTTGGAGGCATCTTGGAGGCCATCTTGGAGGCCATCTTGGCCGTCTTGGAGCCGATGGGGTCAATGGAGGCCGAAATTTGGGAGCTTTCCTGTTGGGAGGGCGGCATCGGCCGAAGCCCAAGGAAAAGTTTAAACAAAGAACCCC